TTTTTTTAAAAAAAAAACTTGTGTAGTTTTTCTGTAGTGTTTCTAGCCAAGGTTTGGCATTTCGCCTGTTTGGTAGCGTGGATACCTCAAAAAAATAAAATAAAATAAAGGATAAGATAGTCTGTTTAAACCAGTCAACATTTACTAGAAGAACAAAAAAATGATTATAAATCCACCTTTTCAAGTTATAAATAAGCATTATATTATTGCATTCTGTACATAAACATCATGCTGAATCTACAGTGTTTCAACAGTGCAAGAGGAGGTGTGGAAATGTCCACTCACAATCTAGTCAAGACAAAATCACATCTAAAAAAAAAACCCTCAGTATACAAGAATGTGTTTTTTCTTTCAGCTGGCTTTTTATCAAATACATTCAAATTTAATCAGCGCTGCTCTGCAGAGTTCAGTCGAGCAGGCAGGAAAACATTAAATGAAATGTGAAGAGTTCATGAAGTAAATGAAATATAAACATGCAAATCTCAAAAACACAAAAAAGTTCAGTGTCTGGCTGGATTAAAAAACAAACAAAAAACAGTTTAGCTGGTGAAAAATCAAACTGTATGTAAATGATGGCTGTAGCCACCTTATTGCTTACTTTTTCTTGGTGTTTTGAAGTGGAGGATGATGAATCGTCATATGGTAGCCACTTGTCAGTGACACTGCCCTAATCTGTACTTTAGTTGGGCCTTTCTGTACAAAATGAGCATCATGCTCTATTAAAAAAGACTAACAAATGAAACTCAGAAAAGTGTTTACTGAGATCGCCACTCAATAAGACGTAGGGTCGTTTTCTCATGCACTTCTATATAACCTGACTATTTTTTGCCATCATTAAAAAGGATTCAGGTTTAAGGCACTTGTGCACTTGCTTCACTTTTCAGACCGAGTTTGAAAATCCACTGTGGCTTCGTCATCTGTCGATTTAATCATTATTCATAATACGTAGCTTTTCTTTTTTTTTTAATGCTGTGATTTATGTGTTCTTACCTGATTAATATGATAATTACTGTACCTCACTAGAAATAGATTTGGTGACTCGTCCCTCATCTGATGATAATCCTCGTGTTAGAGGATGGTCGGTGGTCTCCGAGTGGAGAAGTGATTGACTTCCTGAATGATGTTAAAACCTGTTTTTTTTTTTTGGCATGGTGAGTTTTTTCTTGATGGAAAGACAAAAGAGCTGCTGGCAAATCTTTACAGTTTTCAGACTTTGGGAAACTGAACATGACAGCATGGTGACATACGTTCATCCGTTTCCTTTAGAAAGTTTCTTTTATCGCATGAATATTACAATCAAGTGGGCGGTGGGCCGTTGGTGTAATGCAACATGGGGTAGAAGGACCGGGCGAAGTTATTGGTAAGGATGCAGCTGGAGTCACTTTCCGACACTGGAATCAGGCAGGGCAGGAGCAGGAGGAGCAGCAGCAGGAGCTGAAGAGGGAAGGCGGCACGCAGGGCCCGGTAGAAGAAGGATCGAGGGGGAGACGATTCCCGCTTCTCTCTGCAAAACACATCATGTTTAGTGCAAGAAGACATGAAATGCAAACAACGTTATCCGCACTGCTACTTACCTTTGAGTGGAGGAGCCTTTCTTTGAATTTGCAGCCTCCTGAGAAACACTTTGACACTGGGCAGCTGTAGCAGATTCACAGTCCTGAGGTAAATAAAATGTTTACATTAATATGCTGTAAAAAAAACATTCATGACAGCTCTTGGATGTGCAGAAAGAAAATATTTTGAGCTTTTACCAGACGTTGCCGCAGGTTGCTGAGGTCGCCATCCACCTGCTTCAGGAGCAGCTTCAGCTTGCTCCCCGTCACGTGGAGTTTCTCCCGGGCCTCATTGCTCTCCTCTGTGCCGTCTTCAGGCTGGAGCTGAGACCACAGAGTCTGAAGGGATGCCTGATGAGTCTGCCTGTCCTGCAGCTCCTTTTGCAGAACCTGCAGACCACAAACAACAAAAATAGTAACTACTTCTAGCGTCAAGCTGAATAAATGACTGGATAAAACTTTTTGACTTCACATGCTCAGTGTAAAGATATTGCTGAACATGTCCTAACAGCAGATCTGTGAGGACATGTACTTTTTTTCAATTTGTTGGTTAACCAAACGTGCCTCTCTACTTACAGTGAGGGTGTTGCTGTGCTGTTGCAGCGCTGTGAGAGTCGTGTCTGGGTGGCCGATGTCCACTGCGTAGCGTCTGCTCTCTGCGCGAGCGAGCCACAGCAGCAGAGAGTGGAGGCTTTCATGAAAGTCCTGTATGGGAAAAAGTTAAAGGTCATTTGTTACAGTGGAGCGGTTCAGCTGAGACCAATTAAAATGTCATTTTTGACATTTTAATTTCTACTTACATCAACTAGATTTTTTTCCCTTCCAAATTATGGTAGGAAAAAAACATTTTTGCCATCTGCTTTTCAAAAATATTTTTCCTCTTTAACCTCCTAACACCCAAACTCTTCCACGGCATGCATTTTTAATTTCTCTTTGATATTTGGGCTGTTTGGGGCCTGATAAATGTAAAAACAAAGAATTATTTGAGATTTTTGTTTACCTCATTTTTGTTTTTAAGAAAAATAACAGCAGTAGATAGAACAGTAGCAGTATAATGTCCTCGTAAGTGGATATCAGGCCCTTGTAGAGCAAAATTGAGTATTTTGGTCTAAACAACCCAAAATGTGATGTCCACATATGTGGACACCAAGTTCTAGGAGGTTAATACTTTGCACATTGTATGCTTTACATGCACCGACTTCTCAAATTGCAGTTTACGTACACGTCCATTCAGACCTCACCAGCCACTATATTAGGTACAACTGATTGTTAACGCAAGAATCTAATGAGCCAATCACATGGCAGCAAGACGACCTGCTAAATTTCAAAGAGAGCATCAGAAAGGGGAAGAATGGTGATGTTTGTTGCATGGTTGTCGGTACCAGACAGGCTGGTTTCTTGAGTCTTGAAACCTCAGTTTTGTTGCTGACCATGTTCACTTATTTATGCTTTCAGCAATAAACCAGCATGCCACAAAGCTCAGATTATCTCAGTCTGCTTTTGTGAACATGTCAATGAGTTTACTGTACAAAACTGACCTCCACAGTCACCAGATTTCAATCTAAGAGAGCACCTTTAGGATGTGAAGCTGACAAATCTACAGCAAATGTGTGAAGCCATCATGTCAATATGGAGCAAAACCTCTGAGGAATGTTTCCAGCACCTTGATGAATTTATGTCATGATGAATCAGGGTGGTTCTGGAGGCAAAAGAGGGTCCAACCCAGTGCTAACAAGCTGTAATTA